GCCATGTGCTGTTTGTGGCTGAGAAAGGAAGCCTCGTGAATGAGCCTTTCCTTCATGGCGCCACTCATTCCAGAAGAAGTTGATCTGGGACCTACGTAGCGCTGCAGTATGCACTTATGTGGCAGTGTCAGCAGGTTCGTCCGGGCATGATCGTAACCTTTTGGCGAAAGAAAGCGCCCTATGACACACTCTCTTATTACTTCTTCGGGATAAGACTGGAATTTCTTCTGGTATCCGTCAACTTGGTGAAGCAGGAAGACAGCCTTTTTCTCTCCCTTTTCAGCGTCTGAAGCAATATTTTTCAAAGCTGAGTAGCGCTTGTCGTCACGATATGAGGAGATTACCTTTCTCTCTGCTTCTAGTTGCTGCTGTGTTTTTGAGCGACTGGAGCGATAGTACGCTACCTGCGAACGAAGTCTTGCTATCATTAAAAGATATCGACTTGCTCGCTGCGCATCGTTGTTTCTTGCTTGGGTACATATAGTAGCTTTCTGCTTGATTTCACCTCCCGGCGACTATAGCACTGCATTCTCGCATTCTTCTGGCTCTGCCTTTCGTTTTGATGGCTTCCTAGAGGGAGCAGTGTCTCGGACTTTTAGGGTCCTACGTGCTTTCTTCGCACTGGGTGCTAGGTAAGAAGGATGCCCTTCAAATAGGGTTGGTACGGCACCAGGAACCAATTTTCTTATCTTACGGTCACTGACGTAGTCATTGGCCTAGAAGTGCTTGCTGCATACTGCAGTCGAGGGTGGTTTGTCATTAATGACGAGATTTTCTCGAGAAATGTTTTTTTGCCATTTGGCGCACAGTTCCTGGTCAACTGGAAACTGGTGAAACGACACACCGGGAGTCTTTCCGGACCGCGACTGACAAAACGGCACACAACAGTACACCATATCCACAATATTGATATGCGCAGCTTGACTTCACAAGTTTGCGAGAGAAGCACGAGTATTCATGAAAAAATCGATGCAGAGACTTACTGAGAGACGTGACCTCGTCAGCAAGGCCTGCGAAGCATTAGGCACTTTCGTTCACACGCACAGCGGCAAAAACAACACGTAGAAAACGGGCCCGCGCGCTCGCCGGCTTCCTCTCCAAAACCATCCGGCGCCGCCGCACCACGGGTGCCACGGGTTGGCTCGCAGTGCGCTCTCGCGGAGAACACCGGTGGCGCAGCGCAGAAAAAAATGCATTGCCTCCTCGGTGCCTGCTCAGGCCGTAAGTGAGCGCGCGCGTCGAGACCGGCTGTGGGTCTACTTCAATGACAGCCTCACTCGAACAAAGAATGTTTTGTAAAGCGAGGCAGAAAGGCAAGGCGCAAGGCTATAAATTCGTGTGGGTGAAAAGGGCCAAAATATTTGCAAAAAAAGCGAGAATTCTGAGCTGGTCCGTATCAACCAGCTAGCCGACATTGACAAGATTGTGTAGACTCATGATGAATTTTGCTGAAGTGTCAGATTTTAACGGTCTATGTAGCTTTTTGAAGATCAACAAGAGGCGTTTTGCACAGTGATATATGTGAATATTGGGAGCCTCAATAAGCACTGGAATGAACTCAAACTAATTTGCAAGGAAATTTGCCCCTTAGTTGATCATTTTATTTTTCTGAAATTAATATTGTAGCAGAAGCGACAACTCGATTTTTTCTGCAAGGATACACTAGCATATTCACCACTCGACCATCTCGTAGGGGTGGAGGGATAGCAGTTTGTGTTCGCGACACCTGGTCCGTCACTCACCTTGCAGTAACCTTCAGTCATGCTGAATGTATTGCGCTCAATATCACGAATTCGATTAACTCTGTCTGTATTTTAGCAACATATAGACCGCCTTCCGAAAACGTCCGATGTTTTTTGGTCGAGTTTGATGCTGCACATCGGCAGTTTGCAACTTACGATCATTTATGCATTTTAGGAGATTTTAACATTGATACTTTAACCCCGTCAAAGACCTCAGTATGCACCTACCTCAACACTCTTTCTGATAATGGGATTTCCAACTTGATAACAGCTCCCACTCGAGAAGAGACTCTCTTGGGCAGGTTGGTTGTTTCGTGCTTAGACCATATTAATCTAAGAACTTGTTCACAAAAAGTCCTATCAGCGGTTATTACACAGAAGCTAGCTGATCACTATTTTGTTGGGTGCCGTTGGTTCTGTGACAGTCCTTCACCCCTGAATAGCTTGGCGGGTACACAAATATCGGTCTTTGACTCCTCTAAGTTTGATGGCCTTGTTTTTTCCTTTGACTGGAAGGACTTTCTCCAATGTGTTACATCCATTGACATTTACCAAACGTTTGAGCAGGTTTTGAAGGCATTTGATGCTTCCTCCAGAAAAGAAATGTACGTTAAAGTACGCCGGCCTGACCACTACTGGTGGAATGCAGATATACTGGCCAGCAATAACAGAAAAAAATAAACTTTGGGCTCGGCATAGGCGCGCTCCTAACAATGCAGAGCTTAAATCAAACTTCAAAGCTTGTAGAAATATGGTTACATCGATAATTCTTGCAGCTAAGCGAAGATACTTTTGTAAAAAGTTCTCAGAATTTAGCTCGGGCATGCGCAAAACGTGGCTTCTCGTCAACGAATTTTGTGGTCACTCCTCCCGAAATTCAATCCATAATGTATTAAAAAGGTTCTTTGGCTCTAATCTGTCAACGGTTGTAAGGGATTTTAACAGTTTTTTTGCGACCTTTTCAGGTACAACACGAGATTCTTTCATGAGTTTCGAAAATGTTGTAACGCCTCCGCTTTCCTTCCGCCTATGATAGAATCAGATCTCTCTTCATTGTTATTCAGTTTAAAACCATCAAAATCACCAGGCATCGACGGCATTCGAGTTACTGATCTTCGTAGAAATTATGAGGTTATTATAAGCATGTACTTCTTCATATGTTGAACGGCTTTATTACGAGTTGCCTTATTCCAGACGAACTAAAGACAGCTATAGTACGGCCCTTGTTCAAATGTGGTGCAGGAAGTAAGATTGAAAATTACCGCCCAATTTCTGTTTTGCCAATTGTTGCACAACTTCTTGAAAAACATGTGTTCCATACTATGACATCATTTATAGATGTACATAACATCATTGCACCCAGTCAGTTCGGTTTTGTTCAAGCAAAAGGAACCCAGCCATTGCTTGAAGATTTTGCCGATTTATTATTTTCTGGTTTTGAAGAACATCTTGTTTGCTGTACTCTCTTTTTAGATATATCTAAAGCCTTTGATACCGTTAGCTCTTCAATTCTTCTGAAGAAGCCTTATAGCTACGGATTTGGTGGTCCTTTTTTTGCTTTTCTTTCACACTACCTATCAGATCGCTCACAACTTGTAATTGAAACTGGGGCACGGAGCCCGCGAACAACATTAAGGGCAGGCGTACCTCAATTCTCAATCCTATCTCCTCTCCTATTTAATTTGTTTGTTAATGACGTTTCTACTTTTCTTTCCCAAGCCAAACTTTATCAATATGCAGATGATACTGTAATTGTTACTCGACATATTAACTTCGAAGATGCTGCCTGCTCACTGCAAGGCGCTGCGACTGTATAGTTTCAACGAAATATTCTGGACGTTAACGTAAAGAAGACTAAGCTTATTTGTTTTCATAATCCTCGTAAATTTGTGTGTCTTGATTTTCCTTTCCTTTTACATAACTCAAACTGTGTATCTTGCAAGTGTGTTCCTTTAGTTTATGTTGAATCTGTAAAAACTTAGGAATTTTGTTTGACTGCGGTTTAACTTAGAATACTCAACTCACGTCCCTCTGTAAAAACGTGGGGAGTACTTGTTGTCTGCTATATAATACAAAATCACTTATGCCTCTCTCAGTTCGCAAACTAGTCACGCTGCATATAGTGAGTTACGGTATGGCGTTACGGTGTTTGGAAACTGTTCCGGCTTCTGGCATTAGAAAATTGACTGCATTTTTAAAAAAAAATATTTTGAAAAGTGTTTCTTGTGGCATGCAACTTCCCGATGGTACTGATCTCTTTTAACATTTACAATTTCTCTGTCTCCGAACACTTTTTATTCAAACTGTTGTCTTACGTAACTTTTGTACAAATCAATTAAAAAACAACAACAACAACAACAACAAAACGTTGGTCTTCGTTCGCTTCGTTTTCAAGAGACTTTCGATATACCTTTTGCCCGAACAAGATATGGACTGTATACACGCGAATTTTACGTGCTTGAACTCTTTAAAGGGAAGATGGGGCACTTCTACATTTAAGAAAAAACGCTTGAATTGCGTTCATTTGGCCTTTAGATTAACAGATATCAAAATTGTATTTCAATGCGACGCGCCGGAGAGCCATACGAGCAATTTCAAAATAGGGCTGAAGCCCCGCTCCCCTAGCCTTGGGCAGCCAAAAGCGCCGTCGATGACGTCACGGACAGCGACTGTCTTTCGCGTTTTTCTCGCGTTTAACAATTCTTACGCAGCAAATGGTTTGGGTATTCGGGTTCACGGGGTAAAAATACACAAGAATTCACTTCTAACTCATTTTTTCCAAGAAGCTCCGTAGCTTCCCTTTAATAATCTGCCTTCTGAAATTCTACAAGCGAATTCACTGCGTTAACTGAAGTAAATGCTGAGACTTCACCTACTCGGTTGAAATGTCACCTAACGTGTACCTGTATTTGTTAGTATGTGTGTAGTATGTGCATAATTAGTTGTCCAGTTTTGTACATTCCAAAATTTTCCCGTTTGTTCTACTGATGTGTGTCCGCCAAACTTAACACTGCTTTGTTCGTGGACGTGTCAATTTGTTTTCTATAATTTTTTGGGTGGCATTAAACAAGCCATTGTTGGCTTTGATTGCCCCCGCACTCGTGTATGCCTTCATGAATGTGTCCTGAATTCAAGTTTATTATTATTATTATTATATT